TGCACCTCGAATGTATTCAACAATGTGTTAAAAAAATGTAGGCATCACCTTGATCTTGAAAGTCCACAGCTTTTGGTCTTATATGAATGATCTTCCATTTCTTTCTTCGCCTGATGAGACCCGTAGTATTTTCTCTTCTTTCATGGAAGCAGTTCATTGGATACCGCACATGAAGGGGATTTAGGCAAGGAAATAACTTTCAGTACATACAAAATATAATGGTATCTCATAAAATATATCTCATAATTTTAGTGCACCGCATCAATATGCACCACAATTTGTTTAACCTTTCATCTTAGGTAACTTGAATTTCTCCAACATAAATGGCTTTGTTTACCAGCACTTTAGCATCAGTTTGTCTGAATATAAGGAAATCTGATGCAACTCTTGCAGACAACAGCCTCCTTCAATATCTTACAAAAATTTCTTGGTTGGTTCACAATTTGTGAAGTGATTACCCCAGAAAACAAAACAAAAAAGCAGCATATGAGACAACTTGGAAAGCAAAACTGAACCGCCTTCCCAGAGATCACCAAAATAGCTTTCTCCTTTTTGCAGCAGGACTAAATGACTCAAGGCTTTTCAGTGCCACTCGGAAATTCTACTCTTTGCTGGTGCAATGGAAGAATGTGCACTCGCCCTCTGACATCTTGGCCAGCAAAGTTCTGTCCATTTAAGAATCGGCCAATGATCTTGGTAACCTAGCTGAACCAAAGAAAAAAACGTGTTAAAATAGGAAACGTTTTTAGAAAAAAAAATGTTCCAGGGGGTGCGATTGAACTCGGACCTCTGCGACCAATTCAGTTCACCATGGGTTTTTTTCTTGGACTGTACTATGAGCACCTAAACTTCTAAAAATTCTGAAAATTGGTACTCCCACTTACGACGCGCACCAAATTTTTCCCACTCGATTTCGAAAAAAGTGTGCGCGTGATACTCGAGTGAACACGGTAAAATGAAAGTACAAGGAGTATTGATGCTTCACCAATCACAAAAACGTAATTCATGTCATAACCCTTGGGCAGCAAAGTCAGGATATTTACGCAACATTTTGTGCGCATGCATGAGCCATGCGAATTTTTAAAAAAATTCGTGTACATATTCCCATAGACGTCCCTCACAATTACCGTATATACAGGCCACACAAAAAACATAACTTATATAAAGTACTGACAAAGTGTAAGATGTTACAAAAATAAATCTCAAAACCCCCTTTATCTATACATGGCCAATGAACACGCTTTTATATACAAAAGGTTGGTCTTCCCAATTAATTCAGTTGTAAAATAATTACTCATTATAACAAACTACAGCAGTACTTCGAATTTCCCAAACAAAAACACCACTGACATACATAATGCATAACAATCTTGTTGCATCAAATGCTTCAGATTCATTCAAACAAATTGATTTTTTGGTTTTTTTCTTTTTTTTCCACACAACCATCAGAATTTATAAATTTTCTCAATACTTTTTTCCTCTAGCATTTGAAGATAGCCATTTTGAATCAATATTCACTGTTAACAGTCCCAAAAAAATTTCAGAAAAGAAAATTACTGATCTGTTGGTAGGTATTTTTAAGAAATCTTGATGGTTTTGGTATTTCTATTCTACCTGGAGGCATTCTGATATTGCCAAAGAATTTTATTAATCTTTCAGAAATATTTCTGCATTGATCTTGCAACAAAAGATATACCCTTCTAGAGTTTTGTAATGATATATCTTGATTCTACCAGAAAATGTGTTGCAAAAAAATTGCTGAAGAAAGATCACTTAAAAATTTTAAAATTTTGAAAATCCACGTTTTTCCTGGTCATACTACAACAGTATGAGGCAAAAAAGGAAGTTCCCTTTTAGAATGAAGCAAAAATTCACCCCTTCAAATGCTTCCTCAGTAAAAAAAAATATCCTCTACCATGCACAGTGAAATTAACATTTATTACAGCATATGTTAGAATTAAATGCTTCACTGTATGCGTGAGAATTGCGTTCATTTAATTCTTAATTTAAAAACGTCAAGAAATTGTTAAGCAGAGATTAATTTTAAAAATTTCACTTTCCCTCTGAAATCCAAAAATTGAAGATCTGCGTTTCGATTTTTTTCGCGTTACAACATTATGAAGCAAAAACATAGAGTTTTCCAGCAAAATACAGCAAAGAATTCATCATTTTTAATCATATATAACCCTGAATTTATGTTGTATATAGAGATTGAGAGTCAATAAATATTGTATATAATTCAGTATATATATGACGGTGCCATACATTTTTGACAAGATTGAATCAAATGGCAAAGTTTATTTTATTTTTTCTCAAAATATTTTGTTCATCTAAATGTATTCCAAATTTTTTGTTCCTCTTCACGCTAACACTAATCATTCTTGGGAAGAAGACCAACAATAATTGGAATGATGCATTTCATTCAAAAAATTTGGAATGCATCAGTATGTTTACAATTTCAAAAAAAATGAAATGAAAATTGATTAAAAGTTTAGAATTGAAGCACTTTTTTCCTGGAATACAAATTATAGGAATCAATGGGAATCTAGGATGAACCCTTTGCAATGGGGGGGGGGGGAGACAACTCCAGCCAAAAAACATGGACAGCATCTATCACTGCTTAGACTAGTCTATCCTTATATCCTGCCTTCAGACATATAGGCAGAAAATTAAAAAATAAACAAAAATCTCCTAAACTCTCAAGGTTATAAAAAACTTATCACAAGCAGAAACCAGGCTTTGGATGATTTTTTGAAGAGAAAAGAAAAAAATCAGAAATGATAAGTGCTTTTGGAAAAATTCCAAATGGATTCATCAGTTTTTTATTTGTGGCAAACAAAATAATGAGAGAACATTTTTGAAAATTACAGAAAACGTGGGAGTATTATTCTAAAAAATATTTTCACTTTTTTTCTAGAATGATAAAATTTTAACAGCTTGTGACATGGATGGAAAATGCTTGCCAAAAACGGGGAAGTTTTCACTTATTGTCTTGCAGTAAATCTAAAAACTTTCAGAAAAATCTGAATAAAATCCCAGAATCTTAAAATTGGATGAGCTAAATGGTAGATTTTGTTTTGAAGTGGTACCTAGTCTAGAAATACCCAAGGTCAATCAGAAATGGGACAATCCTCTCAATATGAATATAATTTACCAAGGTCTGCATGTCATTGACAATTTTACAAAATGTGATTTAACATTAATCAAATACTGTGAACACAAAATAAACGATGCAATAAATAATTGCTATACACTAATACTGTACAGTACTGTACTTATCAACGTAACTTATCGAGTATACCGTGCATGTATATGTCAGAGAATATTTATATAATACAGTACATTTATATAATGCTCTATTCAAAATGAATTTTTGTGAAATTTAAAACACTTCGGAGTGGGAAATAAATATTTTAAATACTTATTTTTCATTGATGAAATTGTTTAAATTTGCCATCTGTAGCATTCTTTTTTCAAGACATTTTCCACTGGACTGAATGTGTTGAGAAGTGAAAACTTTCCTGGTACTGTATGACTGGAATTCTTCACAAACTTAATTCACAGCATGCTGGAAATTTGCCAAGAGGGCATAGAAATTTACATCTTGTTCTTGCATAAAAAGAACATTGTATTTCTTTTATCTTTTTGTGAATTAAAAAAAGTTTGCATAGAAAAATAGAAATAGTAAGTCCCCTTCAAAACTAGTACAACCCTTGACAGACAAACATGAGAACAAGTTGAAAATCATTGAATTCCTGTTCTATTTTGTTCAGCTTCTATTCTTATTCATGAATGTCTGAAATCACTAAATTGAAATTCAAAAGAATGGGCATATTTTACTGAGCATGAATGTAGGGTATTGGAAAAAATGGAGTAATCAGCTCATGCAGTTCAAATCCATCATGTAAAGTAAAACAACCTGTAAGAATTCAGAACATATTTTTCTTTCGGATTCAAGGAATTGGATTATCAGTCTTTCATTTCAAGCTAACAAATGAGAAAAGCAGAGAAACCTTGTTGATACAAAACACTTTATTCAACAAAACTGTAAGGACCACAAAAAGAATGTTGAACCAAACAACGAATACAGACCCTGGAGAACATCAGTAAAACGAGCAAAAATTGAATTATGCATCTGGCTTCCACAGAAAACCATCCAGAATAAAAAAAATATCCAGAACATTGTCAAAGCTTGATATCAACGAAACTAACTTGCAAATTCCATCAAGAAAAATGTACGCAATTCATTGTTTACATCGGACAATAAACCTCCCAGGAGTTTCTTTTCTTGAAAATTGCCATCATCTAGTCGACCGAGGAGTTAAAATCAAGTTAAAACCAAAAAAATTCCTTGCGAACTTGAAGACGCTCGCAAATGAAAAAAAAAAAAAAATCAATTTGTTTGAATGAATCTGAAGCATTTGATGCAACAAGATTGTTATGCATTATGTATGTCAGTGGTGTTTTTGTTTGGGAAATTCGAAGTACTGCTGTAGTTTGTTATAATGAGTAATTATTTTACAACTGAATTAATTGGGAAGACCAACCTTTTGTATATAAAAGCGTGTTCATTGGCCATGTATAGATAAAGGGGGTTTTGAGATTTATTTTTGTAACATCTTACACTTTGTCAGTACTTTATATAAGTTATGTTTTTTGTGTGGCCTGTATATACGGTAATTGTGAGGGACGTCTATGGGAATATGTACACGAATTTTTTTAAAAATTCGCATGGCTCATGCATGCGCACAAAATGTTGCGTAAATATCCTGACTTTGCTGCCCAAGGGTTATGACATGAATTACGTTTTTGTGATTGGTGAAGCATCAATACTCCTTGTACTTTCATTTTACCGTGTTCACTCGAGTATCACGCGCACACTTTTTTCGAAATCGAGTGGGAAAAATTTGGTGCGCGTCGTAAGTGGGAGTACCAATTTTCAGAATTTTTAGAAGTTTAGGTGCTCATAGTACAGACCTTGCGAACTTGAAGACGCTCGCAAATGAAAAAAAAAAAAAAAAAAGAGTGGTCACAGAACACAGGAGTATGCACTACCAATGTGGCACCAGCATCAGCAGTTCATCTCGACTATGTACCGACTTTCCAACCATTAGCGCCAGCATTCCCACATGAAAAATAAATTCCTCAAAAAGAGCAGGCAAAAAGGTCTTTCAGAAACCTATCTCTTCTCCTGTGTGGGACTAATCCCGAATATGAAACTGTTCTGACCATAGCAAGCTCAAATTTGACAGTTTCCCCCGCAGCTGCTTCGTTACATCATTCAAAGACGAGAAATAGTACGTGTGAAAGCAATTCAGTGATTAATTAAATCATGTATCCTAGACCGGGATATCAAAGACAATCTTCAGCAACACACGAGTACTCAAAAAAAAAAATTTCCTCATCTCATGGACAATATCTACACGTGTGACAACGACCGAAAGCAAAACTATTTTGTACCTCTGAAAAACTGAAAAAAAAGGAGAACTGGAATCCTCAACACAAAGCGTTAAAAAAATAAAACAGGCACGAACACGCAGAACAATAATGGATCCACCAAGTCCTCAGTTACACAGAATGTTGAAAAAGCGCAAGTCGAAACTTTCCTTACCCAGAGTTTGCAAAAAAACAAAAACAAACCGAAACTCGTAGGAAATGAAAAAAAAATCATTCCTGCCCCATCCGTTCTCCCACTGCAATTTTTATAAACATAAAAACATGCCAGCGATCTTTGCCCTTACTGCCATTCCTTCCTTCCTTTTTTTTCCTCTTCAGGGATTGTGATGCCCTCATTATTGATCGTTGATGATCGCGTCTTGGATTTCACGAACAAGTGTGATCCTGTGCAGCATCTTGGAAATAACTTGCTCGCTCAGCGGCTGCGTGGAATACCACACCGGCGAATGCGGGACGCAACTTCGTTCGGGGAACAGATAGAACACCTCGTTTTTACCCTTGATGCTCTCCGGGCTACGAAGAATGGAAAAAGCAGATTTTGTAATTGATTGAGCACTAGCTCTCTTTCACGAGCAGCTGATTAAACAACACAAATATCAGGTATTCAGAAAGAATGGACAATTTTCGGAAATTTTAACGTTGGAAACGCAAACATAAAATAAACAATAAGCTTCGGAGATTCACCCCAACCAAAAACAAAAGACAACTTGAGAATGATTTAAGAATTTTTCCGACAACTGCCCTTCAATCCTGCAGCGCAAAGCCTTTTTATGTTCTTTTGCAAAATTGCTAAAAGGTGGCCCAAAAACAAAGAAAAAAAATCTCAACACATCCATTACAATTAAGTGAACACTGGATAATGTAACGAAATTTCTTCCGGGGAACAGATAGAACAACTCGTTTTCACCCTTGATCTCCGGGCAGCGAATTTTGTTTTGTTTTACTGTATATCAATTCGGCATTAGCTCTTTTTCAACAGCGGCTTGTTAAAAATACAAATCTCAGGCATCACGCACAGAAAAAACTCCGAAAAAATGGAGAATTTTCGAAACTTTCTACGTGGGAAACGCAAGCATAAAATAAACAAGCTTCGAAGATTCATTCCGACCAACATTGAATTAAAACTTGGGAACGATTCCTGAAATTTATTGAAAACTGCTCTTCAATCCTGCAGAGCAAAGCCTTAATTCTAAAAATTCTGAAAGGTGGTCCATAAAAAAATCAACACATTTTTAACAATTGAGTGAAAACTATAGTAGATGAAGACATGAATTCAGATTCCGGAGGAAGTTCAGTTTCATTGCTTTCGCATTTTCATTTTCACTCAACAATTTACATGCTTCATTGCAGCATCAACTAACTCATTTCAGAATAAAATACCACAATTTCAATACACTCAATTTGTTCGGGTTTGATAAAGTGAGATTGCAGCACCTTCAGTTCGAATGGTTACACATCATAAGTTACGGGTTCCAGCGACACCTACGTAAAAGTCCTGAAAACACGGTCCAGCTTCATCGCGAAATAAAACCAATAGATGGAAAGAACGTTAGGTCGAAGGTCGCTTACCATTTGGACAAATAAAATTCGTACAAACGAATCGGGCATCGCAGAGGATTTTCTCCGTTTTCGTGCATCTCGTAGCTCCTCTTCGCTCGTTCTCCCATTTCAGCTGCAAAAACAAAACAAAAATGAATTTTTAGCAACTAAACGCTGCACTTCACAAGCCTTTTAAAACGGCGAAACGAAATTTGGAACCAATCGCACAAATGGAAGTTCATTAATTAACTAGAAATCATCTGAACGGAAAACTTCACATATCCCAGATTGATCGGCTTGTTCCAATGACACATATACATTTTCGGGGCTGGTATTTTCGAATGAGCTTCTCATAAAATTATCGTTTCTGATCATAGCTGAAATGCCAGCAAGGTCATCACCCAGAAATATGCTGGATAAATACACCCAGCATGTGGCAAGCACTTCTCCCTTCGTGCTGCAACTACAGTGAGTCTCCGACACACCGACAATTCAACTCAGGGACATTTAAAAGGAACAACAAATCTGCCCTGACATACGGAAAAAATGTCTCAAGGTACCGACACTTCGCCAAAATTTCTGGAAACAGTTCATCCTACAAAATGTCCACACCTATTGAACAAAATGAGCTGTTCATATTCACGAATTTAAAGTGAATCTTATAAATGTACTCTGATCAATAATCTAAAACAGACTACATTTATGCTTCTCTTCTTACAGATTTTTTCCATCAACTGCGAACAGTATACAGTATCAAGACAAGCGCTTGTTACTTCCATTTTTGACCTCCTTTTCGAGCCAAAAAGGCATATTCTGCGTGATTTTCCTCTGAACAGTTCTTCCCTACATTTCTGAAGTTCAGAAAAACAATTTTATTCAATTTTTACGGACTTCATCCAACTAAAAGAACTAAACATTCTTCTTTATGAAGTCTACAGGAAAACGTGATTCAACGTGTGGACATTCTGAAACAGGGAAAAGGTCCAAGAACCAATTACGTCCACATCTCGTGGCCCCACTGTACGCAAAAAAACGAACATACGCGTCTGTGAGCGATAAAGTAAAGTTTCTACTGTAGCGAAGACTGAAGAGTAGACACCAGAAGGAAACCTTGCTCCAGAAACGTATTCGTTCCACAAACCTCGGATACTAGCAGGAGGATAATACTTCAACAGAACGTTTCTCTGACTGCCCATGGCGGGGTTGTGACCACCACGCCCAGGGGGAACCCCGGGTCCCTTCTTCCAGTGCTTCATGACGTGAGGGAATGAGAGGCGAACGTGATCTTTCGGTGCCTATAAAACGCAAGAAAATTGAATAAATCGAGCGTTAGCCTCATTATTATAATTTTTCGATTCGCCATCAGATTTTTCACGTACCGTCAGCAAGAAATTCTTCGTTGTGAAGTACATGAGTGTGTTCAGTAAAACGTGAGGCGAATGCGCTCCCAACTGTTTCGCTTCCCACAAATGCTCCTCTTCAATGTGCGTCATTATGTAGCCTGAAAACACGATAAATCACGGTTGATTCGATTAAATCATCAGCAGCACTTCAAATACCTGATTCAAGCGAATACATGACTTCATTCATTCAAAGACACCCCGGGAATTTTATCTTCCTAAAACCCGAAATACAGCAACTTTCGTGGGTGAATCTGAGACGCATTTTCAATTGCTTCGTAAGGTAAGAAACTCAATTGTAGAGAATGTACCAAAAAATGCAACGATTCTGAAATCACAAGATTTCCTCGAACACAAGCACTAAAATGCCTCGCACTCAATAAAAGCTCACTTGACTTCTTTTGTTATGAATGAGAATATCTATTCCGCAAAACGACAAAAATAAAATGAAAAAACCAACGAGAAGAAAATTAGGAAGATGCTTTTACACATTTGCACTTCGAAATTTGTTTTACTCAGTTTTGATTAAGCTTTAAAAATATCCCCGGAGTTGAAAATCGCAGAAGTTGAAGGAATATCAATCACTGGAATCGGAAAATCTTCCTTCGACCATCCCATGAGCAAATCTTAGACCCAGAAATTCCAAGATGCATCCTAATTGTTTGTGAATAAAAATTGAAAAAGGAAGTCTTAACTTCGCGCGAAAACGGAATTCATAAATCGCAGTAAGTCTACGAGCTCATGAAAACATCGAAGAGCTTCAGGACTCGGGCCCAGAGAGCCAAATAAACGAACGTATGCACAGTAAGTTCAAGTACTCACCCAGATCTGTCAGCATTTGTTGGCCCGAAAATCTACACGTAATTTCGTCCAAACAGTCCGTGAACTTCTCGAATAACTGATCATTGAAAATGTTTTCCACGCGGCCGTTTTCCAACAGGTATTCCTGGATACCTAGGCACAAGTAATACACGAGATCCGGGGAGTACATGGAATCATCCGGCTTCTTCACTTCCTTCACAAAGAAACACAGGGCATAGCAGAGTTCTTCGCAGCTTAATTGCAACAGATCCTTTTTGAAAAGGCGGATTCTGCGCATCGGATTCGCTGCCTGCAGCTTTTCCAGTTCTTCGTTCTTTCGCTGAACCCAGAATCTCCACGCATTCACACCAAAAGTGTACTAGAAAAATCGAACCGGAGTACCAGAATCAATTAGAAATTCAATTAAACGCAATTGAAAGAGTCACATCATTAAATACCGTCTTTAATCGAGTACCCACACCTTCAAGTAATCTACGAGCCTTGATTCTTTCGCATGAAATTTGCACGAAAATATAACCCACATAAGACGCGTACCCAAGGTTTCTGGGTTAGGAATCGAAATTTTCTTCAAATGTAAAAAAATTATCCCGTAATTAAATATTCCAACACAAAGCATTTTAAAAGGATTTTTTAGAGCACCAACAATTTGTTCTTGCTCAATTATTGTTTCTCAGCTCAATTGTATGCCGTTTCAATTCCTATTCCAAGAAAATTTTTTAGAATACTCGGACAGAATTCTGTGGGATAGCAAATTAAATCGTCAACGGGCAGAACGAAGAGCAGAGAATGTGAAATGTAAGGTCACATTTATATTCATGAATTTTAATGCACAAGATAATTACAGAAATATCTTTAAAGACATGTTTCCTTTCCACAGAATAAACGAATTCCCCGTCTACCTTCAGCATCATATTTGCATCTGGTCGGTCCTCAGGCGGCATCGGTTCGGAAATGTGCTCAGGCGGCCTGTTCTCATCGTGAATCCTGTCGTTGGGATAGTCGGTACGCATGCGCTTCCCGGCACGACCAATGCCACCACTGCCGCCGCCACTACCGCCACCACGAGGAGTGCCACGAGACGATCTCTGCCGTTTCTTGGGCGACCTCTGTTGCTGCTGCTGCTGCTGTTGCATCCGTCTCATCTGATTCTCAGCCTCAACGTCATCTACGATAGGAGAAAGAACCGCATTTTACTTCATTTATCTATGATGGAAGAATGAACCATCATTTATCACAATGATAAAGTGAACATAGGAATTTCATAAAAATGCTTTCAATTCCTGCAGACTTGGCGATTCAACGACCACAAATGAAGTAAAATACTGTTGAATTAATGCACGCACGCTTTTCGGTTGAAAAAGGTTTGCTCGCAGATGGACTGCTTTATCATAAAGATGGAATATCTCCACAAGGATTTTATCTGTATAACGAATTCATTTTCGGCCCCAAAAAAAAAATTTGAATCGCTGAAGAAGAATGACCAATCATATGATAGCCACTCCAACGATGGTGCAGTGTTTAAGTGACTCACATAACATTTGCTGAATCTTTTAGTTTATAAGCATACCTCGTCAAAATTGTTGATCCGAGGAGCCTTTCTTATAGCAGACACCTTACGAGAGGCCACAGTGAAAATGAATTTCTGCGACCAAGTCATTTCCGGTCAGGACAACATTCAATCAAATTATTCATCTTGGGCAACAAAAAAGCAAAACATCTTGAATACGTCTTTTACCTCTAAGCAGATATCTCAAACTCGAATCTCCGTATACAGTATTATCTCCTCTCTTCGCCAATGCAGAAAATTCAGCATTACAGGGAGTATGAAGCTCTGAGAAACATTTATTTAGATTCAAATTTAGAAATGACTAATTTTTTGAAAGAACAGTACTACATGTTTGGAAGAATAAAGCTTTAGAGCATAACGATCCAAATGAATAAATGCTCCTCTTACGTAAATATCTTCGGTTTGTTTCAGCTCACTTCTGAAAGATTGGCATATTTTTAAAAAATTGAAGGAAGGAAAGGTATGAAATGAGAAAATTGAATTTGAAATTTCAGATTTTCTCCAAGATTTTATCAGAAGATGTAGAAAATTTGGGCAATTCATCACACATCCCTTGTGGAATAACAGTACAGTAATTTACATTTACAGCATCTATTGCCCGTCTCCCATAAAATTTGAGTCCTACAAGCTATAGTCTCGTTTTTTTCCAAAAGGTTTCGTTGTAACGATATTTTAATGCACAGGTAGAATCTCTCTACGACAAAATTCAGGGGGACCAAAAAATTTTGAAATTCTCATTTTTAGTCCCGAAATAGCCTTAGAGTCCTTCGGAAGCTACCGCAGGATGAGAACATTGACCCGAACGATCTCAAAAACATTTCGAAAACCACACATCCCACAGGAAAGAAAAATCAAGGATCTTTGGGGAGATCATCGGGCATTACTAAAATCGAAAATACTGAAACTAAAACTGTCCCAATCGTATCGCACAATAACAATAATCCGTGCTGCGTCTCACCAAAAGAGGGACGCTTGGGTGGATCGAGGGATTTCGTAACAGCAGGCGTTGCCCCAGCCAGAGCTTGTTCCACGTCGATCGAAGACTCGGCCAAATACGGGGTTCCGATCGTATCGTCAACAGCTGTCCTTAGCGCAGTTTGCAAAATGTCTTCTCCGGACAATCGAGACATACTGCCACTGTTGCGGACAGGGACTTCGTCCTGGCGCTCTTCTTCTTCGCTCATTTCCCCACCATCGTAGTCATCCACATCATCCTCGTCTTCCTCGCTGTCTTCTTCCTCTTTGACTCCTTCACCCACTGCTTGGGCCATCATGAGTAGTTCGGCTTCTAGCGGATCAGCCGGAACTTTTTTCAAGATTCTCTGCGGGCAAAGAAGGAAAATTATCAACTGAATCTCACATTCGACTCCTTGCCAACATTAAACAAAAGAAATAAATACTGTACGACTTTGCCCAAGCGACGAACATTTTCCAATTGAAGCAGGAGATATTAGTATACATCAGACATTTGTGCCTTGGATTATGTAGTGAAAGGGCACGAAACTTGGCAGAACTCAACTCCGTGTTTCTCTTGAACTCTTCAGAAATACTTTGGAATTACAAGCTCATTTTTTCAACGCGATGATCACGTTCGAAGTTCAATTCGTATATCTTAGGCTTCCCATAATTTTTCGGGGGTTTATGCTTCAACTAAATATTAATTTGACTTCAAAGAATATTCAACGCACACCGGAAAGGCAGCACTCCCAAAAAATTCTCGACGAAACGCTTGCAGAACATGATGAAAATGCACGTTTAAAGAGTTTGCGGTTGGATTTTTTTCATTGATAGAAATGGGATTTAAGCTCATGTTTATATTTTCATGAGTTATTTTAATTATTTGTCCAAACGTAGAACTTAGAAAAAAAACACACACATTCTTGAACAACGAAGTTTCCTAGTTTCATCAAGACAATTGAAAAACTTTGCTCAAGGAAGAACAAATTATAAATTGACCCACGGCATCCAACAGAAATTCCAACCAGAATCGGATCAAATCCTTCATTATAGTACAGTATGCATTATTCGTAATACTCCTGTAAACACGAGAAGAATCAAGGCTAAAATTAAGCATGCTGAATTTTTTCTCGGCGCATGTTCATGCCATGCGATTATGATTAACTTTTTCACGTATGAGAAATTCATCGTGAGGGAAAAGTTGGAACTCTAGCACCGATAATTGCAGATTTTTCATTACACAATGACTTTTCTGACACCTTCGGTAAAGATTGTGCATAAGCAGAAAATGTAGACGTTGACTTGTTCCTCGAGCTAAGACGTTATTTTCGCAACCATGCAATTGAAAAAAAAGTCTCAACAAGTGTGTAAATTGAAGGAGAGAAAAATCACCTTGATATCTTTCCCGATTCGTTCCGAAGTTTTCCGCGTCGTAGGAATGAAAATCGGCACCGGGACAGGAAGCGGAAGTGCCATTGGGAAGGGGTACGGAGCGTTGTACATAGCCATGGGCGAGGGAACGTAAACAGGCACAGGAATCGGAATGATGATCGGCTTTCCCATGTCTTCATCTGCGAAGTATTCGTACAGTTTTGTGAGAAATGAAAAAATTGAATTTCCTTCAGATGTCCTAGATTAACCGAAACGTAATGGGTTCGGGTGCTTCTTGGGGGTCTGTGAAAGAATTTACCAGCGATACGTGAATTTTTCTGGTTTTTAGCTCAAAATTGATCACTCATACGAAATTAATGGAGTAAATGTTGAGAGAGATATAGAAATGGGGATACACGTACAATCTCCATCAAAACACGATTTTTTTCTTGTTTAATTTTTCGCTCTTCAAACAATCTCCTCGAACATTCTCAAGATTTCAAGTTCAAATTAAAAAAAAAATGATTCGGAATCCTGTATATTGAGAGTTTTTACCAGAACGATAAATTTCATGAACTTTGTTCGCACTCGACATAATCAGAATTTGAGATTATCCACACAGAAGAAGTTCATAATCTTTAAAACTGTAAAACATTATTAGTAGTCACCTGTTTGCGTCGTTTTATTCACAGATGTTCCCAATTTTGTGCTGATGCCTTTGTTGACCATGGAGGGTTTGCACACCACAGCTTTATTACGCACCGCACGCGCTGGAGGTCGCATCAACATCACTTTCTGGTTTGCCGATTGCTCCCGAGACTTCTGCAAAAGCAACCATGAAATTTTAAATGGATCCAATCAAGATATAAAACGATAAAAAATTGGATCAAATCCTTTCCGCGATTGTATGACGCGCAACCCAAGTTCAGTAACTAAAAGAGGGTAGATTTCAGAAAATAAAATGCATCAAAAGCAAAAATTTAACCTAAATCGAACCTGAATTGAATTATATCCCCAACATTTCCATTGAAAATAACGCTTTGTTCTTTTTTTTGTTGAAAATTTTCTACATGGATCAAGTACTGTACTATGAGCACCTAAACTTCTAAAAATTCTGAAAATTGGTACTCCCACTTACGACGCGCACCAAATTTTTCCCACTCGATTTCGAAAAAAGTGTGCGCGTGATACTCGAGTGAACACGGTAAATCATAATGAACAAGGCATGTTTCTTAAAATACAAAGTAATTAGACCGAAAGTCTTCAACCACTTACAATGTCGTGAAGTGCAACATAAGGAAGATTCGAGCCACTAGACGCATCAGACAGAGACTCCACCGAAGCAATTCGCAATCCCCTGCCTCCGGTATACTTTGTTGCAGCTTTCGCGTGAGCGTCATAACAATGGAGACTGCAGAAATGAATGGACTTTCGTCCTCCCTCACCCAACTGCTCAATCATGTCGTAATTATACTTCTTCACCTGACGGAGGGAAAACGAAACGCATAATTGTAAAACACGATAGAGGGAAAAAAAAAGCCCAAAAAACTCACTTTACACTGAGCACAAGGAACAATTTCCCTCGAGGAAATGAAATGCACATTGCTGCATCGCCGAGAACAGAAGATTTCGGATTCGAAACACGTCGCGACGACGGACCTCATCGGTCCGTCAACATTGACGTATCTGTCGCAAGTCTTACATTTATCTGCAGGGTGAAATTCACTTCTCAGTACATCGAATAGAACAGAGAGAAATTAAAGCGAGTTATCTCACCAAGCGAACATTTTTCAGCGAATTTGAATGCCGATAGGCAGATCTCCGAGCAAACGTTTTGAACATCCCTCGTGCTCATCAGAATTTCGCACTCCACTGGCTTCACTTTCAAGCAAACAGAACACACTCTTGCTTCTGAAGGTTCCCGTTCATTGGTGTTTTTCTCCTTGCACCAAACGCTGCAATATTTCTAAGAAATCGTATGATACATTAGGATTAATGGAACGTGGGAATTTCCGAGAACATTTGTTCTTACAGTGGCCTTGTTATCGATGCTTCCATGCAAGGGTTCATTCACGTCAGCAAGGTCGACTTGACAATTCGAGCAGGTTTTCATTCCTCGTTTAAACTCTTCCAGACATGGGTTTGTGCAAAATTGGCGAACCCTGGCGCCCAATCGAACGCAATATTTCCCGAGATATTGTCGGGTGACTCTTTTCCCACAGTTGACACAAGAAGACCCAATCTTCTTCTGCAACTTTTCTGCAGGGGAGATAACGTACATCTTCAGCAAGATATGCTTTAATAATGGTTTCAGTTTACGGAAAATCACATGAAACTTTCTACCAACCATTCTAATTTGTAGTAAATTCGGAACTACTGTACAAGACTAACGTTCACAAATTTCTTCAGTTTTCTGTTTCTGATCATTTGGGGATACGCACAGGTGGACAGAGGCAAATCAATTCGTATCTGAGTTATTTAAAATTATACTTGAATAGTAGTGTTGGAATTTTCGAAAATTAAAGTTTACATAAGAGAACCCGGAATTGAAAGTACAGTAATGTATTCCCATGCTTCGCAGGAAAAATAAAGTTGTTGCATCTGAGTCGAAAATTCCATTAATTCACCGCTAGTAAATTGGCAAGAAAAAAAAACCAATTACAGGTTCTTCTTAGCGCGATGCCAACAGTCATCCAACAATGAAACAAATTTTTCATAGCTTTCAAGGAATGCAGTACTGGGTAGAATTTCATTGATTTTCTTAAGCGACTATCTCTTCAAAAGTAGATCTCAATATGATCATTTCTTATAAATGCTTGAAGGTACCGCCATCCTTGCATATCTTGCAAATTTCTTGACAACGCGAAGATAAGCGGTGAAAAATCTGATCTGGCAAAAACATCACCAACTATAAACATCTCGCAGAAGGTTTTCCATGAAACTTTCCGAATTTCTTCGCGATATTACCTATTCTTTCCGAGGGGTTCATAGAGAACATACGGTAACTAGTATACTGAATATGCATAGGCTTCCACATGAATTTCGCCGCCGACTGCAGCAACACAAAAATTTTCGAAGATAACATTTCATACCCAGACAAGAAGAGTTGCAGAATTCCATTCCTTCCCAGAAGAGATTCTGATGAGTTTTGCTCATGGACCTTCTGCAGAAGACGCAACGTTGACCATCGTAACAAAGATCATCAGGTTGCTATCGAAAGGAAAAAAGGGCTACGCAGTAACAATTTGTTTCGGAACAATATCATGAATATCGCCTTACTTCTAATTCAGTTGCAAAGGGGAAATCCAATTCGTCCATATTGGATGCTTCTTTTCGAACAAAATTCTGCAATAATTGTGATAAATTTGTATGATTCATAGATTTATTAAATTGAGGTACCGTACCTTAATCGTTGATCCCGCCTTGATGGCAGCTTTCCGTTGCGATCGCGGAGTGCTCGTCTCTGGAATTTCCACAACTTGCTTATTTGCCTTCGATACTCCGTTCATTCTACGGGAATCCGATTTAGCTCTCGGCCCAACTCGTTTTTCAGCAGGTTTCTCCTCATGTTTATCAGGAACAGCTGAATCTTCCACTTTTAAATCATCCTCTTTGATCACTTCGGAAGAAGTGTCCATTGGTTCATTTTTCGGGGATAATACAGAAGTTTGTATCGGTTCCTCACAGGTCTCTGAAAGCTTGCACTCAGCAGGTTCAGCATCTGGAACTGTTTCTTTCGCAGGAACGACATCGGCATCCACCGAATCGCTCTCCATGGGCTCGTCGTTTCTTGGCAGTTCCGTTCCGCTTTCAGCAGGGTTGAACGATTCTGTCGTTTCACTCAGTTTCACTGACGCGATTACAGCTTCCGAATTCACATCTTTCTCGTAAGCATCCACAGCTTGAATATCCTCTTGAGAAGAGACGTCGAATCCTTCTTTTTCAGACACGGGAGCATTGACTTCAGAAACAAGTTCAGTGGAAGGTATTGAATCCATACTCGATGATTCCACGGTCTTCACAGGGGGCAGTAACTCATTCGTCTGCTCTTCAGTGGACGACGGCACGTCCACCACAGAAGGTGTTGAACTGATGTCTACGACCGCCGGTTTCTCATCACAAGGTGATCCTTCTGAAACATGCTCGTCAAGAGATTCCATAGAAGTCTCATGAATGGATTCTGGAAACTTTTTCTGGATGGATACTGGCAGGGCTTCCTGAATAGATTCCGGCAATGTCTCGTGAGCAGATTCCAGGTGAGATTGATCGAGTGAATCTGACATGGATTCCGGCAGAGTTTCCTGGAGAGATTCTGGCATAGTCTCCGACATGGATTGAGGCAAGTCCTCTTCCATGGGTTCCGGTAGAGTATCCGGCACAGCTTGCAGCATGTTCTCCGAACCTAATTCGGGCACGTTCTCCGAAGCCAACTCGGGTACATTCTCCGGAACAAAGTCGGGTGAAGTCTCCGAAGCGAATTCGGTTACAGTCTCCGATGCAGACTCAGTTACATTTTATATTACAGACTTGCTCACATTCTCAGTTAAAGACTGGTTTAAATTCTCAGGTGAAGACTCGGGAAAATTCTCCGGAACAGCCTCGGGCAAAGTCTCCGGAACAGACTCGGACAAAGTCTCCGCAACGGACTCGGACAAAGTCTCCGCAACGGACTCGGACACACTTTCCAAAACAGACTCGGATACTTCCTCCTGAACAGTCTTTGGTACGTTCCCCTGTATGCATTCCGGTGTGTCCTCAGGAATGCCGGAAACCTCAGCTAATTCATTCAGGAGTGAATCCGCCGCCTCCAAAACATTCGATGCATCGGATAGCGGGGGATGTTCGACTATGGCGGGTATTTCGTTAGAGGCCGAAGGAACATCTAATGGAGCATTGCTGGAAACTTTGCTTTCATGGGTCAGTTCTAAGGAATCGATGGGGACCTCTTCCGGCGCAATGTCCGCCATACTTCACTCGCACGGTGTCCGTGAAGAGAATATGACGATGGGTTCACACTGCTTCACTTGCATCTGTTGCACACTGGGAACCCATACAAGTTTTTCCATCAGCAATGTCATCGCCGACACATCTTCATGATACATCATCGTTGAATACAGAATAAGGTGAAATAAGTTGGGAGAATCCCATGCCGACACTAAATGGTACCGGCATTCACAGAGGTTCCAAAACAATTACCCTTTCAACTATTCCAGGTAAGGTACAAAATCCAGCCAAACGCAAAGTCGTCATCACATCTATAATTTTAAGGACGGCATCATTCCGCGGAAAATCACTTTCAACAGCGAGATATCAGCTAATAAACTATTTTTCGCTTATTTTTACAACTCCTTTCGAGCCATATTCACACTTCTCGCAACTTAAAAATCACATCAACTCTCACGTTGGCTACTCTGAGCATCCGAATTTTCACGCCATAGAGGCGGCCATGATCGTAAAAAGGCTCCGCCTCATAGAAGGATTTCTCTTGCGCTATCCATGCTAAAATAACCCCGCCAGGCATGGTATGGTGTAGTACAGTACTGTACAGTATGGTTGGATTGCGGTATCTACGTTCGTCATTAAATGTCCCATATACACACTACAGCCACACTGCACCGTATTTTGTACATGGTGAACTATTTTCCGACCATAGGTCATGGGCTCACAACTTTAATCAGTCTATAATGCTCTTATATTTTGACATACAGAACAATACAGTATAGTGACATTTTAATAACTCCTCCTAGCTATTGCCTTGCTGCTGCATCAGGAGTATGTTTGGCTCCTTCTGGTTCTTGAATGCTGACCCTATGAGGAATATATAAGCTGCTGCTCCAAACTGAGTTTAATTGAGACCTCATTTGTCAGTCAGGTTGATTGAAACAGCTGCATCTGAGTGAGCAGAAAATCTGAAGGTCTTATATTCAGTGTCCCAACAATTATTTGAGGGTTCTGCTGCTTATGAGCGCTTAAGAAATTGAATAAAACAGTAAATATTGTACAAAGATTGAAGGAAAGTTTTGAAAAATAGACTGACAAACGCCAGCAGGTCATTGATATCCGTATTTGTTCCTGCAGAAATGAATGCCCTTCAAAAATCGCCTTAGTTGGGTTCCCATTCTTGCGCTGCTTAAGAACAGCCACGCGCCATAGAGTTCATCCTTATTTTGTACAACAGTACAGTATTTTATTTAGAGTTCTGCTCCAGCTAGGAGGGGTCCACCGTATTTATGTTGTGGCTGAAATGCTTCATCAAGAAGCCCACCTTAGGAACATCCATCTAAGGGATATACACCCGCCCATATTCCCGTCACTTCAACCATGTTGAATTCGGATTAAAGAACATCGCGGTTGCAGTGCGGAATCGAAGGTTTTCACGAAAATTTACCCTGATCGTGTCTCGTCGTTCATATCCATGGTTTTTTGAATTACGCTCGACAATTATGGTAACGCTGTGAAACCTTGTTCTCCGCAGGGTTGTATCCCTCTAACGTGTACCCGAGAAGAACTGGTAACATCCGCCGGTTGATGAACACCGAATTGTGAAGAACTTGTCCTATTTCCAACAAAAGTTTAATAACAAGAAAAGTGTATCATCAGTGCTGTTGACGCACACGGAAACACTGGTTTTCGATTCCTTCAGCTCGTTTCTCCTTTGCTGTATCACCGAATCTCCTTATCAGGATGTCGGATACCCAATACTCACCCAAGGAGGAAAAGGAAGACGCGACGAAATCGAAATCTGTGCTTGGTATGTAAAACTTGAATGATTGAAGGCTAATTTAGTGTGTAAGTTATCGTTTTGGATGCCTCCTGCAGCCACGCAGGTCTCCGGTGTCGTGAAATGGTTCAACGTCAAGGCTGGATACGGGTTCATCAACCGGTAATGAATTCCGGAGTGCATCAAGATTTCGGGAAAACTGAATGATATGGTTGTCTTTTTTCCCAGGAATGACACCAAGGAAGACGTGTTTGTTCATCAGTCAGCAATACGTCGGAACAATCCCAACAAGTTCGTGCGCAGTGTCGGCGATGGGGAGGAAGTCGAATTCGACGTCGTTGAAGGGGAAAAGGGGAATGAGGCCTCGAACGTCACTGGCCCAGCTGGCGCACCGGTGAAGGGATCAGTGTACGCCCCCGACAAGCGTCGAGGCGGCTGGCAGCGCGGTTATCCAGCATACCGTGGCGACGGAGAGCGAACCCAACGCGGCGGCGAAGGACGACGCGGGCGAGGTCGCTCAGACGGACTTGGTGGTCGTGGATCTCGTCGTGGTTACAATAACCGCTATGCCAACAATCGCCGCGATGACGAGGAGGAAGACGAGGAGCATGTTAACAACGGGGACGGAGGGGATGTCGAAGGTACGGTAGATGTTCTTTTGGGATCCAACGATTGGGTAGTTCTGAATTCTTCCATATTCTTTAGAATACTCTCCGCCAGCTCCTCGTGGTGGTGGAGGGCGCGGTCGCAGGCGTGGTTATGGACGTGGCTATGGATCCGCTCCGGTCTATTATCGAGGTGGGGGTGCCAGAGGGAATGCATCCTACAATTCGAAGAAGAGCCCCGATGAAGATGTGAGTGTGTATTTCCTAGATGTGTGCTTCGGCAAGTTCTTCGGAAATCTCCGGAACTTGGTATTCGTTGAAGGAAAGCGCAGAAGATACGTTCTCCGCTGTTCGGGAAGTATCTTCCTGGATAGGAGAGATTTTTTGTCCATGTCGAGCAGCCCACGGTGTTTCTGCATTCAATCACTACATTCTTGGTTCATAGGCTATGTTAGTGGAAAGTCAGAAACCTAGGTGTTGGGCAAGGGAAGTCGAGAACTTCATTAGCTTGGCTAGAAACTTTGATACTGCGCTTCATGATGTTAGCTTTGAGGAACAGACACAAGAATACAGCATTATCTCACTATACGATAGTTCTAACAAAAGTTCTCGGAGTAGCAATGAAAATGGCCTACAGTTGACCTGAAACAAATTTTTCTTTAGGAAACATATTCTTCGGCACATAAAAAAATATCAGCCCTGTTTGACAAATTTTTTGGAATTTTTTTCATAATTCACCCTGGCAGAGTTTTATTTATTGTAGCCCAGCTTTCCCCTCAGAATTTTTAAAATCTGCCATTTTCATTGACAGCCGCCACTTTGGCGGCTGTCAATGAAAATGGCAGAAATGCCTTGGATGACCTGGAGGCAACCCTTAGAAAGAATGCCAAGCTGATTTTGAAAATTCTGAGGGGAAAGCTGGGCTACAATGAAAAGAGGGCGCCTCATCTTTTGAGTGGAGAGCAAAACTCTGCCAGGGTGAATTATGAAAAAAATTCCAAAAAATTTGTCGAACAGGGCTGATATTTTTTATGTGCCAAAGAATATGTTTTTCCTAAAGAAAAAATTTGTTTCAGGTCAACTGTAGGCCATTTTCCTTGCTACGCCGAGAACTTTTGTTAGAACCCTCGTAGTTGGCGACTGAAGTATTTTGTGGAATAGAGCCTAATCAACTTCTAAATAGGTGCATAATACTGTATCAGCTAATAACCCTCGAATTAACGTATGTTTGGTTACTTGAGATACACAATTGGGATTTGTCATTTGTGGGTTTGGTATGCGGTGAGGTGAGCCTACTTCGGGTTTTTGTTGTAGCTGTTCCGGGTTACAGTCCAACTCGAACTCCGAGGGACCAGCAAACGATGCAAGTTAAGCAGGTTTTCAGTTAGGAAAACATGCATTTGTGTTGATGGGAAGAAAGAAGATTTACAGGAAATTGTACTCGGTGATATTCTATGCTTCTTGAAGGAGTTGAAAGGATGCTGAATTTGGAGGCGAGGGTTCATTTGTACGATTGGTCTTTCACTTCCTTAAAAAACGCATCAATTACATTATTCGCATCAATTTTATTCCATTTCTTTTCACTGTGTCGAAAAATTAATACCCAGAAGGCCTCCAGAACATTTGAGTCATGGATGCTTGCGGAGGAAAGCCTTCGAGTGAGGGAAGTTTTTTATGCATTGTTTCTAAGTGAATTCAGAAAGGGAAAAAATTTGACGTAGCGAGATGTTCGACTTGTGGAGGTTCGAGTCATAGAGGGTCAGCTGTATTGAAAATGATTTTAGTTTGTTGTGGGACCTTAGACGAAGAAGAGCCGAGATAATGCCGTGCGCGGGAACGTAACTTCGTAGATCTCTCTCCTATACTCGTGGGTTTGATGATTTTTCAGTGTTTTCGATTCGATATTGATTTTTATTTCCTTTTTGCTTTTAATCAGCAATTCGCCGACCCGGAAGATGAACCTGAGAAGTTCGGAGAAGGCGGCCAGCGAAAGCCGAAGCGTAGAGGTCGTGGACGGCGAGGCGGGAATCGTTCTTCCCGTGACAGCGAAAGCAAGTCTGACGTCAGGGATAAAAATCATGACGAACCGGTAAGAAATCTTGGTGCCTTTTCCTCGTTCCATTCATTTTCTTCACGCTGTGATTCCTGCAATGTTTCACAGCAGGAGGATGACAATCACAGTGCTAAAGAATCGTCTGGAGATGTAAGTTAGCATTTTGAAAGCATTGCATTTTCCCCTTGCATTAATCATGCGCTATTTTTAATACATCTTATTTTGGCGGTATAGTAATTTTTCCGTTCGTTGAGTTTTTTTTTTTTTTTTTTACACCCGTTGGCGCTTGTGTTTCTCTTGAGTTCATTGAGTTTGTTTTGCATGTGCGTTGGTTCATTTGCTAGGGAGAGACCGTTGTTCAAAAAGTCAGCAACGCAACGACGACGGACAGCACTGCCTGAGAAGAGAAGAAATGGACAAGAAAACCGGGATTGATCAGAAAATCATTGTTGCATGCAGTAGTTAAGGTAGTGCGAAGGAAGAAACGATCATGCGTGAAGAAATTTAAGGGGAACGATACATGACATCTAAAAGAGTTTTGGATCATCACTACTCGACAAAAAAAACTCTCACTAATGGTCACCTAGAGGGATTTCAGTCCTCGCCTCGTTCCCCTCGGAGAGCAGCGGTCACAAGCAAGGGAGAAGTCACTTACACTTTCTGGACGGCCAAATGGAGAGAGAAAGACATCCTTGATGTGGGGTTGTTCGGACGAATTGTTTTTTGTGTTTCTCCTGTTTCACGAAAAAAAAGAACCTTGTTTCCTGCTCGATTTTGTTTTGATCGTTCTACCTCCAGGGTAATGAACGCAAGTCCCTGACACCTACTCTGCGGTTGTTGACGTTTTGTTGCAGTGTTCAGTAGCAAAATTTTTGCCCTGCTTTAACCTGGTCTCAAAGACTTCCTGTTTGCCTGCATCTATGGCTGTGATCTTTCTAGTATTTGGTTGAAAGCGGTTGGTGACTTTTGACCTCATAAATAAACCTCATTTAGGACTTTCGGCGGCGTCCAGGTCAGCTTTTTTGTTTTGTGTCAATTGAACCCTGTTGAAGAGGCGGATCGAGGCTTTTGTGTGGTTACTCCCAAGCTTTTTTCATTTGTTCATTTTATATTTAGTTTGCAAACTTCATCGAAAAGCAATTCGAAATCGGAGTGGATCTGCGAAAAGAAGTTAATTTTGTGCAAAATACTCACTTCGGATCTGAATCGTTTTTCCGTGCCTAATTCGCTGCGCTAGGCAAAATCACCTGCTGAGAAGTTTTCCTGTTCAGTAATCTGTATAAATAAAACTGGATGTGTGCAGAATGTGTTGAATATTTGATGAGATTTCTGTGGAACATGGAATTAATCAATCCGACTTCTGTTTTCAACGCAGACATCTTCAGCTCAGTGTTGGTGATGAGTCAGGTCGATGTAAAAGTAGTTCTTCTGGGTAGCAGTGGCTGCGGGAAAACCAGTCTGGTGGAACGCTTTCTTCACGATCGTTTCGAGGAAAGATACATGCCTGTAAGTCAGAATTTATCGAGTGTGGTTTCGGGACGTGTTTGTGTGGCTGCGCTGAGAAATAATTTGATCAAAAAAAGTCAAGAAATTAGCTTGAATAATGAATCCACTGAATTGTTGAAACAATTTTTGATTTTTCAGAGAGTTTTGATGTGCAGTGGTTTTACGAAGTTCTCCGGTTATTGGCCAATGAAGAAAAGTCTCAAAATCCGATTGCTGTAATCAAATTCTGGTATTATCGATGGTTAAATTAAATTCTTGACCAGGTTTGTTTAATCGAGATCCAGATTTTTGACGTTTAACCGCTCAAAATTTTCTGGTCCTTATTTTATGTTCGAGGATTGAAAAATTCTGCTTGAAGGTGTGTTTTTTCCCGAAAGTTTCCTAGTTAATCATTTTGAGGTACAGGTGTGAAATTCATTCGATTCCAATCATTGATAAAATCATTTTTAATGAGATAAAGCTCGAACGAATAATTTTTGAACTGAAGATAGGATTTGCTGATGAAGTGCACGTAATCTTATTTTTTTTAGACGAAAATGCAAGTAGACTCTCAACAACGATCTTCTAAACCCATGGAGGTTCACTACAACGAAATGTTTTTCTGTCACCCTGAATTTTGTTGTAGAGAGAGTCCACGTCGACTTTTTAGTACCGGAAAAACTGCGATCATTGTGTACTCTGCTTAAGTTATCAGGTTATTGCAAAGTACTTTTCTATTAGGAGAAGATGTTTTATTGGAACTGATTCTCCATTATTAATCAATGTGCTGGGACCCAGGATTCTGTGGGACATTTTTATTGTTTTATTCTCCTTTTCAAGAACGAAAAGGGAGAAGCAGAAACATCTTCCCTCCGCATCTTCTTCTGATGCGCCGTAATCGACTATATAAAACGCTAATTGATTGGGCTTAACCAACATGGAGCTTCGGAAACGATTCAAATTCGAGCCGTGATTCCATATTTTGAGTAGTGTAATGAGATTCATTGAATCTCATCGTTATTTATCGCTGTCAATCGTCCCCCTCTTCGCAGACGATAGGAGCTGCATTCGGAGCAAAACGCGTGAAAGCGTTGGGAAAAATCCTCAAATTGGGTATTTGGGACACAGCTGGACAAGAACGTTACAAGGCGATGAGTAGGATATACTATCGTGGTGCTAAGGCCGCTATCGTGTGCTACGATTTGACGGATGCCGACAGCTTTCGGGAGGCTCAATTTTGGGCCCAGGAGCTGCTAAAGCAGGAAGATGTAAGTCTTTTCTTTCGGTAAATCAACATAAAAAATTTGCATTTATGATTTTCTTTTTTTATTCATTACTGTATTTAACAGGCGTGTAAGATTTATTTGTGTGGAACGAAGGCTGATCTCACTCGAGGACCTGAAGGAGGAAGAAACAGGCGGGTTGATTTTTACGCTCCAACGGATTTTACTGATGGTTAGTTCCCTTTTTTTATCTTGAGTTCATAACTTAATACAATTCTGCGTTGTCGAATTTCAACGAAAATATTTTAAATTTTCCTTGCTTTCCGTCGCCGGAAGTTGACACCCTGACCCTTTCGTGCGAGACTCATCCTCTGGCATTTAGTTTATTCTCTAATTGTATGCATGTCTAGATGTCATTTAATACAGTATTCATGATTAAATATGTGAAATAATTTCTGTATTGCGTCGCAATAAATTACTGTTGAACCTCGTAGGTCGAAATTTTGTTCGAATTTTACTTGGAAAACAATGCACTGTATTTCAAACCTTTTGAACTAAAAGACTTTCCCCCCTCAAACCTCTATACAATACTGTAAATTGAATTTCTGGAGGTCGTTCGGTCATTATTTTATTGACACAGAAAAGAGGAGAGCAAGACAAATGTAACTTGATGCTTTTTTTTAAAGGAAGTGAGGGACTACTTGGGCAAAACAACTCTTGTCCTCAAGTTCAGCATGCTGACAGATCATTTAAGTAGCACTTGATCACCAATTTAAATTTCCTTTAATTCGTACAGTATTTCTTCCCCCAGCAAAAATGCATGTTTCCCTAACTCAGAACCTCCTCAACTCGAATTTTGTGCGGGTCCCTTGGAATTCGACTGAGATTCAAATGTTTGTGGTACTGTATTATAGTTTCGACACTCATTATTCACCGTATAATTTCCCTCATTCATGTATGTCTACAATTTTCTTCAGATGTGAATGCTGGTAAGAGGCGGAAACCGCACGATTCCGGTAAGTAGCACAGTACTCCTGTTTTTGTTTTTTTTTATTCATGTGTCTGCGTATCTTCTGCACAGTTGAAACCGCTCAGGTGTTTGAAACTTCCAGCAAATCAGGTTACCTAGTCGGTGAGTAATCCAGTGATTCGCCTTATTTTATTCATTGAAATATATCAAGCTCACCGTCGAATTTTCTTTCTTTTCTAACATTTCAGAAGAACTCTTTCAAGCCATAGCGGACGATTTCATCTCGAACCCAGTGAATGAACCCATCGTTCAAGAACTTCCGAGTATACATGTGGGAAAAGATCAGCCACGGCCATCGGGAACATGGTCATCCGTGTGTTGTTCTTATTGAGTCTCTGTGATGGAGCGGAGAAATATTCGAAGGGCGTCAGATCGCATGGGTTCCTCCTGGTTCCATTTCCCTGTGGCCTGAGTCTCTAGGAACTTGAGTTATTCATTAGAAATGTGTAGGATGTTCGAAAAAGCCACTGTGATGTGGGAAATGTTCAGGTGAACCAGATTCTATGCCCCGTGTTTCCGGGTGCTGAACATGTTCCATCGAAATGTGTACGATTTTACGAGGGGTTTTCAGGACCCTGTTGACTTGTTATAACTGCAAGGATTGGTACTCGTTTTAATTTTTTCTGTTCAAAGTTTTGGATGGAGGTAGACTTCACTTGTTTTTAAGGAAGACTGAATTATCGCTTGCGGAAAATTCTACTTTTTCCTTCGCGGATTCATGTTGAAAGAACGGAGAGTTTAAGAATTCATTATCTTCCGCACTTGCAAGTACTGTAGTGCTACGGAACATTTCATGTACAATAGTTGAAAAATTAGTTCAGGGAAAATATTAAAGGTCTGACACACATAAATGTATGTCGGTGATGCTAAATGTGAAGGGTGCCCGAAACTGTCTTCAGGCAAACAGTTCCGTAGCAAACTAATTTCGACTTGAAACTCTATTATTTATACCACAGAGGTTCGGGAAATTCGAATCAGAATCTATAGTTCCCAACGAGCTTAATTCCAAACTAAAAACTCAACTTCTGAACCACCCCTTGTAAATATGTTAAATCTATCCAAATGGAATGTCACTTTGAAAGTCGGAAGCATAACTTTGCTGGCGATGTGTAGGATAATGTGCCCTGTTGATGTACTAAGCACCAGTGTGGAAACTGGATCAGTCCTGCCTCTTGTACCGGTTGCTTTCCCCCTGCTGTGAATGCACCAAGCTTTTTGCCGGAAGCGAGTTTCCCGCGATTTTTGCAATGATGAGGCCAAATGTCAATGATTTTGTGTGTGTGTTTGCACATGATAAGCATTTCTATTTTATGTTGGGAATTTCTTAGCTCATGCAAGATCTCGTTTGTGACTCTTAACTACTGTACTATACAGTCCTCGTCGTTCGTGTCTGCAAAATATACTCGCGAGTTGGGCTGTGCTGATCGCTGTGAATTTTGCGCTAACGTGACTGTTGAATCCGTCGAGTGTAGTCCCACCAGTTCTACCCCCCATGGAAAAGTTTCAAAGAATTTGAGATGTATTGTGAAGTATTTCCTGAGACAAAAGGAGGGGAGGCTGACGAGGAATTGGAGAATGTGACAGATGGTTTTACCCCTTAGGAGTCGGGCGTATTTTTATTTTTATGTGCCTGGGAAAAGTTTCATGACGATTTAATTGTGATTTTTGGCATTCCCCGCGTGAGCTTTCGGTGACTGAATTCTGTCCTTTTCTAATCCGTGATGCTAATAAAATAGCCCAAGGGTTTACTGCGTGATTTATTCCTGAATTGATGTTGAATTTGATTTATTTCTGTGTGGTAAAGTATTTATTTTTCTTATGCATCCGAAACATGATTTTCAGAATTTGGCAAGTTCATGTGTGGTGCTATACGAGGTGAAATGCACTTATTTTTAATGAACAATCTGCTGATGACATTCAGCAATGACCTTGGGGAAGGAAAATCTACACTTGATGCTAATTCTAATTTTTCTAAATTGCAATAAAAAGACAAATGAATTTTATGAATGAAATTGAAAGTGAAGTACTCCATATGCTGCATTATATGGGTTGAACTTTTATTTTCCCTAAAAATTGCAATTATTTTTTATCTTTGATGGGTTAGTAAGAGGGATCAACTAAGGAGAGGGAGCTTTTGTATGATAAAACATAGTTTTGTCAGTGTAGTACAGTAGTATACATCATCTCTTTCAGGAAAGGGGATGACAAGTTAACTGCACGCCTTCAGCCTTTGTTGAGGTAAGGAATAAGTTAGTTGCTCGTTCAATATATCCAACCGAACTCAAGCTCGTGGGTGAGTGTGTCTTCCGTAAAATTAGGTGAGATGCAATTTACGCCTGGAATAGAAATGAAGCGAACAAATTAGTTGTTACTTACAGTGATCAGGGATTGCTGGCGTAATGCTGAGTTATCCTGGTTGTGACCTCCGGAGGCAAACCCCCGTAGCCTTTCTTCACGGAGTTTCCTACATACAATGTACTGTATGTGTAGTCCTTCAAAGATTTTAGCTATGCAATATTGTGTTGTAAATAGATGTAAGCATCTGATAAGCGGTCCACCGTAAAGTTCCCTCCTTAATGTCATCTTCAAAGTGATTGGAAGTGAGGTGCGGTGTGGAATTGGCGAGTGTCGACGCGTGCATGGAAACTACGTTCGCGAATGAGATTGTAGTTCATATGTGGCCAAAAATCCCTACCGTAAACTTCAGGGCACTTAGAGATAAAGTACAGTACGATGTAATCATCCGGAGTTCTAACAGTAGCGTGAATGCAGAAATCACTCGTGACGGATCTGCTTCCTAAACATCTCCCTTGAAGTCGTACAGCTTCTTGAAATGGAATTTATGTTGGAAAATTGGGGTCTAGTGTACTTTAGCGATGCCAGCTAAACGCACTGTGCGCGTTCATGCGCGCGTCCATTTTTCAACCTGTGCTGCCCTCTATGTGTACTTTGCTTTCTTACAGCTTCGGAACCAACGCCTCCAGCAACCCTGGCAATGAGTGACTTCAAAGGCTACCTCACAGTAACACAGGAACCAAGCAGCATTGCATCCACATCAAATCACAATATCTCTCAAAGTGTCCTTTCTTTGTGTGTCTTTGTGTCCTTGCTTTGTGTGTCTTTGCATGTGGGAAGAAATTAAAAACAATGGTGTTTTAAATTGAATATTTTATTTTTAAATCCAACAAGCTGGGGGTACACTGTGGAGTCCATTTTTATTGATTTAAAAAAATTGCTTCAATTGAATATAAGTCCAAACAATTACAAGAAGCACAGGTTGAAAAACTTCAGGTNTACGATGTAATCATCCGGAGTTCTAACAGTAGCGTGAATGCAGAAATCACTCGTGACGGATCTGCTTCCTAAACATCTCCCTTGAAGTCGTACAGCTTCTTGAAATGGAATTTATGTTGGAAAATTGATTAACCAATATTCCTGGGGACCTGCGCCGTGAGAACAGTTGCAGAATTATATATATTCCGAATTACAGTAATCGACTAGCGAGTCCAGCTAATCAATACCCTGGTGAAATGCGATAGCCGCTTGGAATGGTTGCTTTCACGTGACGCAGTTATCGTGACATCTAGAAAGAAAACTGTCCGCCCTGATGTGTGTTCTTCCCGCGAGCATGAATCGTGCTGCCTTTCGTTCAGAAAGTTGTCCTTTCAAGTCTAGTTGCTAACACTATACTGAATAAGCTTTATTCCCGCCGAAAACGATTGCGTAGGGATTGAAAATGAGTGGCGAAGGTGATGATAACATCGATGCATCACGAACTGCCTGTGCGGAAAGTCTTTTGAACTTCGACTATGAAACAGTCAAGCCAAGTTGTCCGTTTTCCGTGAATTCTGACCCGTCGCTACTTTTGCTTCGCTGTGCTCATTTTGCCGCAGTGAAACACACTACTGAGCGTCGGAAAGATCCCCAACGTACGCCCTACATCAATCATCCTTTAGGTGAGTACCTTGCTCTTCCTTGACAGCCGCGGTACTTATTAAGCAAACTTCGCGGTCCAGGTGTGGCTCACATCTTGGCAGAAGAAGGCGGAGTGACGGATATAAAAGTTTTGATGGCTGCCATGCTTCACGACACTGTTGAAGATACTGACACGAGTTTTGAAGAAATCGAAGAATTCTTCGGCGCTGATGTTCGGAAAATTGTCAGCGAAGTTACCGATGACATTCGCCTGCCTGCGGTAGAGCGCAAACAGAAACAAATTCTCAACGCACGGAAAGCCAGTTACGAGGCTAAGCTTGTGAAACTCGCTGACAAGCTGTATAATTTGCGGGATATTAATCGAGTTTACCCTGTGGGTTGGACTGAGGATCGTGTGCAAGCTTATTTTGACTGGTCTTACGAAGTTTATTGCGGGCTGAAGGGCACTAATGCTGCTCTCGAGCAGAAGTTGGAGGAAGTGTTTGCAGCTCGGCGTCAATTGTCTAACGATGAAAAACCGCGCGAATGGAGCGAGCGATTGGAGATCAGCCTGAAATGCAAAGATTCTCAGCCGGTACAATCGAATTTGTAACCGTCCTCCGGAACAAGTTTCTTTCATCAAGCCGATGCCGTTCGAATCCTGGAAAAGATTGTGACTTGAATATCCGGGCATGTTGTTTTCCTTGCCAGAATTCTTTCGATGCAGATTTTTATCATCTGTACTCCCGAATGACTCGTTTGTGCAATAAATCTTAGTCATTTATGTGTTCCAAGTGTTGAGCGAGGTTTTCTTTCTCTCGTTGCGTATTGCATGTCAACTGTTGAGTATTACTTGACCAACTTCATACAAGTGGAATCTCTCTACAATGATCTTGTCTAAAACGATTTTCTCATTACAAACATTTCTTGGAGTCCCATGGAATTCTTTTTCATCCTATGGTGTCTCTACAACCGAACTTTCTACAATGGATTTTTTCTGTTCTGTTAAATTTTGTTTCAGAGGCCTGGGTACATTTTTTAAAAGCTACTTTTTGGGAGCAGATTCTACTTTGTGCTTGGATGTCGAAACAATATGTTAATTTCTCACTAATAAATCTTGAATTTTCTCTAGAACTGCCAGACAAAGAGGTAGAACAAGAAAAAATGCCCAACAATGCAGTGGGTCCCTGTGTAACAAAATTAATCTATTCTATGGTTTCTTTTCTTTTGTGGATTGTTTATTCCCTTAGGGTGCATGAAGAGAATAATGTAACTTACTTGTTCCAGATGAATGCAAAAAAAAAGTTGAGTTGTAAGCCTACAAAATTGTTCAATCTGGGAGATAATGAACTCTGCATTGAACTGTAATCCATTTGTTTTAGCAGAAATTACCCTGTATCACTCAAATGACAAATACTGTATCAGATTTGCCCCTTTTTCAAGTTGCTGTATTTTTGTCTGTATGCAGTTTGACTCTCAGCAGAAAAATTATGGGGACAAGACAATTTTTTTTATAGAGAACCGCTATGGGTCTAAATAAATGTGTTGTACAGGTGAACTCCCTGTATAGCGAAAGCTTTGCAGAGAGAGTTTTTTTTTTTAGAGAACCAGCATCATGTGGGGAGAGAACACAATGGAACCAAATAAAAATTTGTTGTAGGGAGAGTTCACCTGTATACCTATGATTCATTTATTGCTTGTTCATTGAAGAGCAGTTTCCATCATCACATTTTGCAAAATAAGTGCTCATTGTTGAAATCTCAAATTGATAGATTGCTAGAACTAGTGCATTTTCAGTCTAATAATTATTTTCATGCCAAAAATTTTGGGAACTTTGGAGTCACTTTTTCCTGATCTAAAATTTTGGAATGTTGATTATTTGATACATAGTTGTTGATTATTCATGGGCCCACTCTGTTTTGAAGATGCTCATTTCACCACTTGGCAAATCACTGAGCCAACCACATGTCCAGAACATTTTCACAAATGTAAGGATAAGGATGAGAAAGCCTCTTGAATTTATGTACTGTACCAATCTGCCCTCAATTCCCTTTTTTCTATGTACCCGAAATACGGTGACATCTTGTTACAACAAAGGTCTTTGGACCTGGAAAAAATCTTGGTTGTAATGTGCCAAAAAAGTGGGACCTAAAATCTGATTTTCTTCGTCCAATAATTTCTTTTAAACAGATTTTACTCAATTGGGCAGTGTATCAAGAGCATTCCTCCCATGTTCGTCAGACATTTCCAGGCATCTAGAAAAATGTAAACGGAAAAGGCTGAAGTTGGCTCATGTGTGAAACTCAGTTCATTTAAACATTTTTAGGAAACCGTTCAAATCTTCGACAGATCAAAATTTCTAGTCTTGAGACTCTTCTACAGCCCAATATTGTATTTGAAGTTGGGAATTGTTGCACAGAAGCGACAATTGTATTCATTAGGAGTGGTTTCTCTAAATAAACATGATGCTTCTTGAACTTAATAATATTCCTATGCCGATTGGTAATCAATTTAAGTCGAATGGATTCAACGTTCTGCATCATTTTTACAGTCAAGTTTACGAATGAAACAATACAGTATGTAGGTTACAAAATTTTGTTTCAGACATCGTTTTAGAAGCTTTCGGAAACAACTTGATGCTTTCTTGATTTGCTAGAGGACACGGCATTCATGTGAGACGTTCATTTTTTTCTCGTAAAAACGATGAAAATGGCGAAAAGAAAAGTACTGTGCTGGTACTGCGTTTCGATTTCTCAGAAAACAAGGTAATTTTCTCACTCACGACGAATTTCTTTTGGTTTCGCACGAATTTAGTACAAACGCGTCACAGATTTCATTCGAAAAGCGTCAGAAGTCTCCAGTCTTTCACAGAAGCACGAAGTAACCTTAGAGTTGACTCTTGCTATTTAGCTGTGCTCTTCAGTAACTTTCGTCATGAAAAGCCTCTTGTTATCCGTGAGTAAAAGAACTATCGATTCTTCCATCCCACAGCGAAAATGTTTGAACCGAATATTTCGGAACATTTTAGGTTCTCCTGATCATCTGCGTCGCGGCATCTCGAGGAGGAGCTTCATCGCCCGTCAAGCACCAGTAAGCCGTATTACGTGAATAACTCCAGGAAATTATATATTGAATGCTTCCATCTGAATTTTCCAAACCGTCAAATACCTGTATTATGATATTCTTTCATGCGTAGTTCGGAGCAGGATGGATTATCTGCAGAATTGCACGTCGCTGATGAGAAGCCGCGGATCGTACTGGAAGACGCAAAACCCGTGATTGATCATCATGGAGCTGACAAGGATTTGACCAGAGGTCGCTCCTCGGACAATGGATTGCATGGCGGCCATCATCGCCGGACGAATCGACAAGGAGGAAATTCAGCATCTTTCGGCGAATCGGTCATGGCGATAATTGGCAACCTGATGCGCGACAACGGACTTGGCGGCGGCACTGGAGTGAATGCAGGTACAGTTCTGTAAATACATTTTCTGAACGTGCGTTAAGAGTAAATGAAGATAATTTTCATCTGAGGAACATGAGATGATTTCAAATAAACTGATCGGTGCGATATCGTTGTAACGAACTTCGGCGGACTGCGGAAAAATTAACCGTTGTATGAAATATTTGTTGAACCAAGTTGTTCTGATAATGACTAACTTTTTTTCTTGAATGCTTGTATGGTCGAACTTCGATAACTTGAACATCTCTATGTCGAATACCTTTCTGTGTGTAAAATTCTTATTGAGTCACTGTTGTCTGAATTTCCTTAGTAAGAATGTGATGAGTAAGAACCGTCGTAACTCCAAGGCTTTCCCCCTGTATCAAACATCCTTGCGTCGGATGCTTTGGTTATTATTTTATTGACACAGGGAAGATAAAAGCAATAAAAACGGAAACGATGTTTTTTTTTAAAGGCGATGAAAGAATAATTAGGAAAATAAACCCTTGCCTCCAATTTCATCGTCCTGGAAACTCAAATAAGAAGCAATTTATGACCCGAAATATCCCCGATTACATTTTCTTGTAATTCTTCTTTCTTTTCCCCTGCAAAAAATGCTTGTTTCCCGAAGTCAAATTTTTTTACGGGCCCCTTATTGAAGTTCGACATAAAGGTTCCACTCTTTGATTCGAATACTTTTCCCGAATTGTGCTTTGATTTATCTCATGAAATTGGTAAAATATCCGTCAGTTGACTTGTTGAGGCGTATTTAACCAAATTGTTCTTGCATTGAATCAATGATTTATTACGCAGTATTCTTATCTTCGCAGATGTTGAATTCAGCAGCGAGTTTGGTCGCACAATGAATTCCGTGCTCATCATCATGAGGAACCAGGCGAATGCACTTCTGCATCTCCTTCGAGCTCTAGCTCCACTCGGTGAGAGCGATTGTGATGATTCGAACTGAGAGAAATCGTAAGAATAGCAGTATTTTATCATCTTGAATAATAATCGATAATTTCAGAAATACATTTTCGAATTCCACTCATCGCTCCGGCATGTATTCACGCAATGACGTGGACGCGGCGGTGATTTAAAATTTTTCGGAGGACAGAACTTTAAAAGGGACGTTATAAATTTTGTTCGGAAAAATCTCATTGACTAAGTACAGGAAAGTATTGTAGTCCAAAGATCAGATCATGAGCTGAAATAAATTTCATAAAATATTGCGGAAAACAATACTTGTGCTGGATGGGTGCTTCTTTTACCTGCTAGAGTATGTGTTGGCCTGACGATCATTATTTACCATTTACGTTTTACTATTGGATGGTTAAACGAGTACAATTTTTCGTTACGGTATCCCATGCGTATTTCGGCCAAGGTGAATTTTCCTGGTTTGTTTTCAGGAGCCCTCTGAAATTTGTGAAATATCCTCTATGCTTGAAATATGACTGACATTTTCCGTAATTTTCATTCGACGAGTCAGACCGTGTTTTGGCGGATAATAATTGGCGTTCGGCGCAAACCGCGATGATGCGTCAAGGCACTGCCAGCACTTTCAACATCATCATGGACATTTTGCTGCAAATTGTGCGTGGACTCACGAGGTTGATTGGTGGTAGTACGGTGTGAACATGAAATGCAATCACCGGCAGCAAGACCAATATGAAACAAATCCCCAGGCTTGAGACTTTGACCGAGGACGAAATTGTAAAAATTTTTGCTTTCATGGTTATTCCCGCGAAACTGTGCGTGTCATCGTAAGGAGGTCTTATGATTTGGAATGCTGTGCATTTGTGTGCGTTTTTTTGTTGTTGTTGCGAAAACCGTGATCACGAGGAATGCATGAGATTGTCAGTAAATGATGAGAGAAAATTTGCGACCAAATTTTCATTCTTCCGTTTGATGAGCACGAAATGAGAAACAAATTTCTGTAATCACAGGTGAATTAAACACAGTACTGTATTTATGCAGTACTGTACAGTAATTTATTTAATTTATCGGATTTCTTTTTTACAAAATTGTGAGAGAAAATAATCGCGAGTCATATTGGATCTATGGGTATTCAACATTTTGGACTCGATGCTTGGGTTACTAAATGGTGGAAAGTGTTGGATCCATTTAAAATACCACTATTTGAAAAACCTACTGACATTTAATTGAATTGAATGCGCAGTCACTTCAAGTCGAAATTTGAGCTTTGATTCTCTCCTTTGAAATATTGCAATTTTGAGTCACAGAAATAGGTTTTGCTGGTTCTTATACTTGGGGATGGGTTTTTGTAAAAATGTGAGGGGCGTGTCTCTTTTGAGAGTGAATTGTACTTGAATGAATGCAGTATGTTCTTCAAGTGCTATGTTTCACTGTACTTCAGTGGAATCTCCCTACAAAAATCTTGTCTACAACTATTTTATTTATGTAATAATTTTTTTGGTCCCATGAGGTTGTCTCCTCATGTTTTAGGTTTTCTTCACACTGCAATTCTGTCTACAACGAATTTTTTCTGGTTCCTTCAATTTTTTTTAGAGTCCATATGTTTAAATATACCGAAAAGCATATTCCAATGTTCAGAGCTACTTTAACTTAAAACTGCTGATCCAAGGTGTTGATGAAATTTTCAAGAATGTTTTCATCACTAATTTCAAGATTCATTTAAAAGTCAACATTGATAGCTGGATTTTAATCAAATTTGTGCCACATTCTTAATGGTAAGTACTGTATTTGAAAATAATTTAACTCAACTAGTGAGAGTTGTTAGAAGCATGAGAACGTTTATTTGAATTCATCAAGTTTCTTGGGTTTCATATCAACTGTTTATCAAAGTGATTCAAATTCAAATAGCCATTTATTCCAGTAGTTGATTCTTGTCAAAATCAAGTGAAATGTTTCTGAGAGAAGATAAACATCATATTAAAGTAGTTGTTGGCAAATTTCTGAAGATTTGAAAAATGTGTGATGCAGTTTTACTGAAAAACATAAATGTTGATTTTTCCATGAAATGTTACCTTTTATAAAATGCCTGCAGTGCATGTTTTCATACTAATCCAGGAAGATCTTTATACCACTCTTCTACAAAAACAAGAACAAAAACAACAGAATATAGAACTCAGGAAGGAATTGATTTGCAGCGTATTCGACAGGAAGTTTTTCTACTTGTGATAAGATTTTTAAGTTATTCTACTTTGATAAGAATTGTAAGTTATTCTGCTGTGATAAGAATTCTGCACCACGAGCCCTGCCATGACAGTTCCCTGTGGATGCTGACAGGTTTTGGTTCATTTTGGTTGTCAAACAATTTCTGGGTCAAAATTCCCGGATGTGTGTTATTGTGGAAAGTTGGAATTTTGAAAGCAAATTTCATTCATCAACATGTGCAACATTACCATCCATGTGGGGGCAGTATCACAGTCCCATGTTATCATGAAAATGATCACTGCAGTGAGTCAACAAACTTTTTTCATGCATTACAATTTGAAAAGCTTGAAAAAACATGTCATTCACAGCCCACATATCTGTAATTGTCATATTCATTCATGATCTGACATTATTAACATGAGAGATTGAAAGATAGATGGATTCTGATCACCAGTATTCAGCAATTGTTTTCTTGGATCCATAGTCAGCAGCAACCTGCTGAATAGTGTAAGAATTGCAAAATACTCAACCTTTGACCTAATTTACTTATTTTTTGTCAAGATCAAAGAAAGACATTATTAATGCTGCACTGTATACTTTTTTTTTTACAAAAAAACTTCTAGGGACTCAGACATCCCTGAACATTTGTTTACAAATGAAAAGTTTGATGCATCAAGATCTTGATCAGAAAATCTTGAATAATGAAATACAGTAATGTTTAAAAAACATTAAAAATTGACTTTTATGCCCTAGAAATGGGGAAAATAAGCGTTTTCCAAAAATATTCTGGGATAGAGGTCTAATAAAAGTGTGGGGCATTATAGTGATTACCTTCGCTATCTAATCCTCTATATTAAAAAAAAAGTTGACCCACACTTTTATAAGACTTTTTTTTTATTAGACATATGTGGACATTTTTGGAAAAAGTTAATTTTCCCTATGCAGTATCTACACAAAATTTATCTTCAGTAGAAGAGCACATTCATGTTGCCCCAGCTATGAATGCAGCAGTACAGAATTTCACTTGAAAAATGAAGTTATTTATGCCCCTAAGTAAATGGAAAAATTCAGAAAAAAATTGGTAGTGCCTTGTACTAAATTTTGAAATTCCGTTGTCACAAGATTTTTTTAGCCTTTTTCTTCATATGGAATTTTGGCCAGGGCCTATGAAATGGTTTCTAAGAGTTTGACCTGCATCATCCTGTTACAAAAGATTTTAACTATTCAACTCATTATTATTTACAACAATTTGGTTCTATAAGAACTTTGCTGACAAGTATTAATATTTAATTTCTTCTCATTGATTTTTTTTATGAAAAGGATTGTTCCTGTCCCAATGATGATGGCTTTATTATTGACAATATTTTGCTGAATTTTCATTTGCAGATTTGTGCTTTACTGTCTCTGGCATTATACAGAGGAACTTGGGTGTTTGATGGACGATCATTATATTCACCACTTCATGAGGACATGAACTCAACTTTCTTCTTCATTGGAACCATGTTCATGTATACTGTGTTGCCACTGACGCTTTTTGTTTGCTATATTTTTGGACAGAACCCATCTATCCAGGTGAGATATGAAAATATTTTACAGTACAGTACAGTACTGTATTTTGATTATATTAAACAGTTGACGTGTTCTGTATGTGAAGGAAGGTGTTCTGGCTGCGATTGGGGTCATTTTCGTCACTGCAAATGGAATTGTGGAGGCGAACCGAGTCAAGTACCTCAATGACTATGACTACCGTTGGCCAGACACAATGACCAAGAACTCAGCAACTGCCAGCACTGTTTTCACCTTCTTTTGTGCCCTGTCATGTCTCATTGATGGAGGAATCACTGCATGGAAATCCACACGCAATGGTTGACCATCCACAGGAAAAATGCCTGAATTTATGGAGTAAAAAAAGACACATTTTTTATGAGATACTGTTGAACCTCTCTATATATAGAGTAACACTTGAATTAATTTTTAGGGAGTTTTGAGTCAGGGAATATAGATGGCCTTATTGTGTTGTAACTCAAGGAAATTGATTTCTGGCCTAATTATTAAGAGTGTTCATCTTTCATAGATGTCATACCAGCATGTATAGGAAGTTTGTCCATATATACATGAAACCCTTGTGGAAATCATTGTAATACAGTTGGTCTCTCTCTACAACAATCTTGTCAACAAAAATTTTTTTTTGTACTGTACAAGAAAGGTTTTTGGTCCCATATGGCTTTCTCTTATTCAGCCCATGTTGGACACAGCAGTTCTCTACAATAAAGTCCCTCTAAAATGATATTTTTCTGGTCTTTTGAATTTTGCTGTAGAGAGAGTATTCACCTGTATGATAACATGGTACAGTATTTTGCATTTGTTTTTGGGAGTGGCTATATGTTCTAAAGTTTACCCTCAGTTTAAAGAATGAGGCCCCAAAGACCTCTTTGAAAATTTGAATAATATAAAGGGAGATCATATCCAATAAGGTTTGAGATACATTTGAAATTATTTGTTTTGCATTGATCAAGCAAATTTGCTTGGGATTCACTGAAGATTTTAATTTGGGAGATTTAAAAGTTGCATTATTACTGCTGAATAATATGTGTGCTGGACTGATGGTGTTTGGCGTGTTTTCAAATGAAAATATGTGCTTATATACTTTAAATCTGGATGACCTACTCAGGAATTTTCTCAAACATTTGCAATGACTCTTCAGAGACAGCTATATATATACTTGTCGTATATGAAGAGTATTTTATACGTGAGTTTGTTCATATTTACGAATCTTATGTTGCTTCATATGATCTGTGAAAATTATCAATGACTATGACTACCGTTGGCCAGACACAATGACCAAGAACTCAGCAACTGCCAGCACTGTTTTCACCTTCTTTTGTGCCCTGTCATGTCTCATTGATGGAGGAATCACTGCATGGAAATCCACGCGCAATGGTTAAACATCCACACAAAAAATGCCTGAATTTATGGAGTAAAAAAAAGACCTATATTTTTGATGAGATACTGTTGAACCTCTCTATATATAGTGTAACACTTGAATTAATTTTTAGGGAGTTTTGAGTCAGGGAATATAGATGGCCTGATTGTGTTGTAACTGAAGGAAATGTATTTCTGGCCTAATTATTAAGAGTGTTCATCTTTCATAGATGTCATACCAGCATGTATATAGGAAGTTGTCCATATATACATGAAACCCTTGTGGAAATCATTGTAATACAGTTGGACTCTCTCTACAACAATCTTGTCAACAACATTTTTTCTTTGTATATACTGTACAAGAAAGGTTTTTGGTCCCATATGGCTTTCTCTTATTCAGCCCATGTTGGACACAGCAGTTCTCTACAATAAAGTCCCTCTAAAATGATATGTTTCTGGTCTTTTGAATTTTGCTGCAGAGAGAGTATTCACCTGTATGATAACATGGTACAGTATTTTGCTTTTTTTTTTTTGGAGTGGCTATATGTTCTAAAGTTTACCCTCAGTTTAAAGAATGAGGCCCCAAAGACCTCTTTGAAAATTTGAATAATATAAGAAGATCAGATCCAACAAGGTTTGAGATAAATTTTAAATTATTTGTTTTGCATTGATCAAGCAAATTTGCTTGGGATTCACTGAAGATTTTAATTTGGGAGATTTGAAGGTTGCATTAGTACTGCTGAATAATATGTGTGCTGGACTGATGGTGTTTGGCGTGTTTTCAAATGAAAATATGTGCTTATATATACTTTAAATCTGGATGATCTACTCAGGAATTGTCTCAAACATTTGCAATGACTCTTCAGAGACAGCTATATATATACTTGTCGTATATGAAGAGTATTTTATACGTGAGTTTGTTCATATTTACGAATCTTATGTTGCTTCATATGATCTGTGAAAATTTGAATGAAAAATATATGGAAGAGTCTGAAAAATCACGAACACAATTCTTCATTGTTTTTATTGACGAGTATTCTTGCGTTTGTAAACCCACCATGTGATGTGTCCTCTGCTGTTATGTGACGCATTTTTCCAATATTGACTCATTGATTGCTATATGAAATAAAGTGATACACTAATTTAAGCAGGGCTTGGTTCAAATGTAACCGATGCAAGCCTCTTTTTGAAATTCAAGTGTGCCTTATAATTGTATATAATTGCCATATGGGTTGGAAAAATGTAACGCTGGCTTTTCACCAGCAGAATTAGTGGCAGAATATAGGTACTGTATATCACCCATCATGCATATACAGTAAGGAGAAAAATAGTTTTTCCAATTTGAACTTTAAAATGCATTATAATATGTTTTATTCAGCCATTTAATATAAAACTTTTTGTAGAGACATGAATAATAGTGCAATAATACAGAAAAGGAAGAAATTTTGCAGGACATTGCAAAATGGACATCAACAATAATTCTAACCTGTATGTAAAATTCCACATCTATATAGCATATTATATTTGCTGTGGATATTTAAAAAATACTCATTTGAAAAGTTGTTAAATATTGTACATGCCAAAATATTGTGATTGTTTGTAGATCATCATATGGAAAATATTGATAACAAAAAGAATTGGATGAAGAAATATTGGAAAAACGCATGTCACTTTTTGTAATTAATAAGAAGCCAATATTTTGTTTTAAAAAAGCCTGTTGGAAAGGATATATATGAAGAGGATGATGGGCATATTCCTGTATAGAATAAGAGGCATCATGTAGGAATTTAGGCGGTTTTCTTCTAGAACAAAAATTAATCATTGTGACCTGTACTGCATGACTTCTATGTACAGTATATAGCTGCTGCTTATGCCCCGCGCACTATTTAGTACTGTGTTTGCATTTGTGTACACTGTACATGCAGTGTCTGCATAGAGGATCAGCTGTGTGTTAAAGAATGAGAGAGGATCATGATCATTTTTTTTTAATTGACAAATCTATAGCCCAATGCTGCTTTATTTTATGATTACATAAGATAAATCAATAAAGTCGACACCAATTATACACCATACAGTACTGAATAAAGATAATTACTGTAATTTCCAATTAAACAATCACATATATACTAGCTGTATCATATGCAGTGGCCACATTTTTCCTCAAAAAATTACATCTGCTTCTTCACAATAAGTACTGTACTGTATAGTTATATTGTAGGTGAACCTCTCTAAGTCAAATTTCTAGGGACCAGAAAAAAAATTCGACTTGGGGAGGTTTACATTTTTCGTGATTTGGGGTAAAGGAAACAAATATTTTTGCTCCAAGGAAAATGGGAAATTGTAGATGAGGATATTATGGGCCTAAACTTTCTTCTTAATGAGTTTAAAGCTTGCTGAACTTGTAGGCAGGGGTTCATTTGTTCAATTAGAGTCCTTCACTTTATTTAAAAATGCATAAAATAATTTATTTTGTTGATTTTATCTTTCATATTTCAAGGAATAATAACCAAAAGACATATGTCTTTTGGTTATTATTTCCTTGAAATATGTCAATATGTCAATAATATTTTCTCTCAAACCTCCGTAAGTCGAATTTTCTAATATTAGAAAATTTGACTTGCAGAGGTTTGAGAGAAAAATATTTTGAGTTAGGGAGGTTTTCAATACAGTGTTTCTATGGGAATCCATGCAGACAGGGACTTTAAAAAAAATTCGAGTTAGGGAGGTATTCCACTCAGGGAGGTTCGACTTAGCAAGGTTCACCTATTGATTCGCAGCCTACTGCTGCAGCTGGTCAGTGCTGAGAATGCTGGCTGACGCTTCACAATATACGGTACAGTATTACATGATGCTTGAGGGTAAGTGCCTTATATATACAGTACTGTATACTGTACTGTAGTATCCTTTCTTACGTGAACAATTGGGTTGTTTCTCCAACTGCATTGTTTCTGGGCTCAAATTATAAGGGCATTGTTGAAACAAGTTTGGGACTCGCGACTCGGGATGAATAAAAGTGATGCATTATTTCGCATGTGGCATTGATGTTTACTGTACTACTGTACAGTAGTACACCACCACAATGTTGATAATATGTGTAATTAGAATTGTTATAGATGTCACTTCTACTTAGTAGTATGGCGGCGTCCGGGGAATTTCATATGGTTCACAAGAATTGACATAGCGCCCTGGAGGATAAATTCGAAGGATATACTGTACAGTTCAGTACCGTATGGGCGTATGCCGTGTATGGCATCACATCTTAGCCCTTCCCCGGAATGCGACGTGCACGTTTGTGGTGTGTCGAGGAGTTGGAAGTGCAATTGCCCGTTCGCTTTATCAAGGTTTTTCTCTTTTCCTAGGAGCCCTACGCTTCACCAACTACCAGAAATTTCCAAGTTTTTTATGTATGGTTTACCGATTAACATTTCATAGTAGAAAAAAAGGTCCCATCAATTTCGACTAGCGCCGCTTACGTAAGTGGGAAAGCTCTGATGTGTGTTCTAACCCGATATGAAGGTCACTTGTTAATTTTTAGTCTTAGAAGCATGTGAAGTGGATTTTGAAGAAGAGCGACTCACGATAGTTGATTATAATTCGTTTGGGTTTAATTGTTCCCACATTTGTTTCTAGCCGGTCATCCAGTGAATTTGAATCTCGTCGCGTCATCCACATGGGATGATACATAAATAATGGCGTGCAAACCGGCTCCGGAAGAAAACGTGCGAAGAGCTTTGGACAATTTCGGGTGTATTTCATTCCAAAATATTTTGGATACTTTCAATGCGGCGATAAATCAAGAGCAAGCGTGGGCCGTATGCTTTCAGTTCATCCGAACTGCGAAAGCCTGCTTGGAGGAAAACCGTTCCGCCTGCTTTTATGCCACTCAGCTAGAGCATGTCAAAATACACAAGGATGGTTCAGTGCACAGATCTACTTTCTTGGGAAATC